CTTCGAACCTCTCAAAAGTGTTTCCGGCTCGTGAATTCTATTGGTCGATTCATTTCGGTCATCCGGATATTAATTAAATAAATGCTTGTCTTTGGTCACCATTCTTGAAGATGAGCTCCGTCAAGCTCACCTTTCACCCGTGGGGACGCGCTTGTTCGACGAACACTTGTTGTAGATCATGTGGAGGCAGAGCAAGAGGGCTAGTCGGAAGCGATAGTACACGCGGTACGGAAGTCCATCCAGGCCCGGGGTGGAGGTTCAGTTGGCCGCATTGAGGGCATCGTCGACTTCGTCCATGATGATGCTGTCATCGAATACTTCGCCGTTGAAGTCAGCTGGGAGAAGGATATCCAAAAGGCGAAGCATTTTGTCGGCACTTGCTCGCTGGTAGTCGAAGGCCATAGGCGGGCGCTTAGTCCAAGTTTGCGGCATGCTCGGTATAGTTGGCGGCTGTTCGACTTGGAGGGCCCGTGTACTTCGTGGAGATGGACATGCACCTCTTCCATGCGATGGTCAAGTTGGATGGTGGTGATGAGTTTGATTGTCAGGTAAGCAGAAGCTCAAGGGGTCGTCCGTGAAGTGGGCGATGATCACCGAGGGAGTACAAGAGCCCGGGTAAGCGCTGTAGGAAAAGCCGCCATGATAAGTTTAGTGGTGATCCAACAGTCAGACTAGTCCAAACGAGCCGCTTTGTTGGTGAACATTACACTAAGTGCCAGGTCAATCACTTGCACAACGGCAGGAGGCAGCACGATGGGAACAACGAGCCGCTATTGGTGTTTGGTTGGGTCATGAGCCGTTGCTGCACATCGTAGCTCGATCGCAGCAATGATGTAATCCAAGAAGGCAGCGGCTACGAAAGTGATTTGGCCTGATATGACCGCCACCGGTCCATGCAGCACTTCGTCACGTTGACAAGGGGTCGCGGTGATGGTGGTTGCTGCTGATTTAATCATTGGGGGCAAGGCCATGAGCAACCACTGCGTCAAAATAATTTCCTTGGGTGGAGGAGTCGATGCCGGAGCCAACCTCAGCAGTGGACTACTACGCAGCCCACCACGTCGATGGGGCACCACAAAGTGCGACGTCACCTTAGTCTCACTGGGCAGATATGATTTCTAATTGGCCTGACTGTTGTAATATTGAATGTTTCTTGAAGTGGTGGACACTTGTAAGTAGTTTGGACGTAGTTGGATAGAGCATCGCGCTTAATGTACTGCTTCAATCGGCGTATTCGAGGTCGTAGCGTGGTTTGTCGAGGCTCGATGGTGGCATCGATATACTAGTGTATTTGTGACATTTGACGTGGTTTAGTTGTGGTTTCAGAGCCTCCGGTTGGATTAACAGTTTGCTAACTTTAGGCATTTTAGGCAGTGGGTTGATTGTGATAGTACTACAGTGCTGGACAAAAAGGGTTGGTACACTTGATTTTTACTTGCAACTTGTTCAATATTTGTCCAATCAACACGCGTTAAGGATCAGCTTCATCTAATGAAAGAGACGAATACGTTGGTATATTTATATTACAGGCACGTTGTATACGTGCTGAGTAATGTTAAAAAAAGTTCGAACGATTGGTTTTTACACTGGACAAAAAACATTGGTACAGAATATTTAAACTCACGGCAAACACGAAGTTTTGATCTTTCGTTCGTGAAATTTCACCTCAGTACTTAGTACAACATCCTTTTCCACTCAGGACATCGATGCACCTAAACTTCATGGAATCTACAAGTTTTAACAAGTACGATCG